CCGACCTTGCAGTTCAAATGGCTTTGCAGTCTGGGGCATTAACCCACAGAGCCACACCAGGACTCCAAGTAAATGAAAGCTTCTTTCATTGTGATCACTGCTGAATAAAGTATGCCAAGAAGGTGATGGATTAACCTTACTAACAACTTTTAGTAAGAGCTTTACACTTGCACATATTAGAAACCATGTAGCTAAATGTTAACAGAAAATAATAGGTGATTAATTAAAGAAGAAGAAAAGTTAGTAAGAAAGATTTTGTTGTTGCTGTAAGGTGCTGTTAAATTGGTTCCACTTCATAGTAACCCTATGCACAACAGAACAAAACAATGTCCGATCCTGTACCATCTTCTCAATTGTTGTTATATTTGAGTCCATTGTTGCTGCCATTATGTTAATCAATTTTGTTGAGGGTCTTCCTCTCATTTCATAGAACCTCCACTTTACCATGCATGAGTGTTGATAATGGGTCCGAGCAAAATGAAGTCTTTAACAACAACTTCTACTTTACCTCCATTTATCATGATGTTATTTATTGGTCCAGTGGTGAGGATTTTTCTTTTCTTTACATTGAGGTGCAATCCATACTGTAACCTGTAGTCTTTGAGCGTCATCAATTTTACAACTCATAAATCTGTAAATATAATTGTGTTGTTGTTAGATGCCGTCAAGTGGGTTCCGACTCACAGAGACCTTATGCACAACAAAACGAAACACTGCCCGGTCCTGCACCATCCTCATAATTATTTTACTTGAGTCCATTATTGATACCACTATGTCAGTCCATCTCATAGGGGGGTCTTCCTCTTTTTCATTGACCCTCCACTTTATCTAACATGATATCCTTTTCTAAGGACTGTCTCTTCCTGATAACATGTCCAAAGTAAGATAGACCAAATGCTGTCATCATTATTTCCAAAAGCAGTCGGTCATACTGCTTCCAAAAGCAATGTGTTCATTCTTCCTGCAGTTCATGGTAGTGGTGGTGGTAATATGCTATTGAGTCAGTTCTGACTCAAAGCAATCCCTTATAGAGTTTCTGAGGCTGTAAATCGTTACGGGGGCAGAAAGCTGGCAGTCCATAGTAGTTTAAATAGTCTTCTCTGGTCTTCTTTATTCATTTTCCAGCTTTTGCCTGCATATGAAGTAATTGAAAATGCCACGGTTAATCCTCAAAGTGACATTTTTGCTCTTTAATAAAAGAGGTTTTCTGCAGCAGATTTTCCTAATGCAATATATCATTTGATCTCTTGATTACTGCTTCCATGAGTATTGATTGTAGATCTAAATAAAATGAAATCTTTAATATTCTCAATATTTTCTTAATTTTTCATGATATAATTTATTGGTCCAAGGAGTTCTGATAGTGTAGATGTTACGAGTTGGATTTCTAACCTCAAG